TTTGCTTTTGCTCATGTTATGGACCTTCAAACCTTGTCAGTTTTTTAGCCAGGCAGTGGTGACACACACCTTTAATCCCAGTGTTCAGGAGGCAGAGGCAGGCAGAGCTCTGAGTTTGAGGCCAGCCTGGTCTATAGAGTGAATTCCAAGACAGCCAGGGCTACACAGAGAAACCCTGTCTCGAAAAACCAAAACCAAAACCAAACCAAAAACCCTTGTGAGATTTCGGAAGGACAGCGCCCCTGTAACAGCGCATGGACCACTCTTGCCCATCTGACTCCATCTTGCCTCTCCGTCTTCGTTCTCATATGGAGAAGACTGCAACTCAATGTGAGCTTTAAGACAAACAGTTTCAAACCCCCCAAATGCTTTCGCCTGTCTTCTGTCCATAGACGGGCTTCTGGACCCCCTTAGAGCAAGTTAGAAATGCAGGGCTCCCCCAGGCCCACTGAGCCGGGATCCGCATTGTAGGTAGTGTTCTTGGTGATTCAGACACAGTTAAGTGTGAGAAGTGCTGCTTCTCCCTTGGAAGAAGTGTGCAGGCATGCCTGAAGCCCCAAGGACATGCTATGTACATGGAAGCCGTCGAAGATCCAGGGGTGCTCTAGAGGCCACGTCTGCCTTCTCACCCAGCATAAAGACGCCAGCCCAGAGCTCCAGCCACAGCCTCAAGTGATTTGCACCTTTGTCCACAGGACCTGAAATTAGTCCCACAGGGGACCAGGGCCTAAAGAACTTTAATTCTCAAGTGTTGGCAGCTCTTCCTTTCCAGTAGAGGCCAGTATGGCCTGGTAGACCTAGCTATCTGTGTGACTGTGGACTGTTCCAAGGGAGTTTTGTGGTCAGCAAGGCCTGGGAATGCCAGTGTGTTTTCCTGTTCACAATGAACAGAAACTTGAATCCCAGGCTGCTGAAAAAAAAAAAAAAGAAAGAAAGAAAGAAAAAAAAAATCAGCGAACTAGGATTGCACAGTTGTAACTATCAGGAATCATTTAGACATACCAGGCCTGTCAGCTGGGTTTTTGCCGTTTGTATTTTCTCATAAGAACATGCGGGTAGGTGGTACACGCCTTTAATCCCAGCACTCGGGAGGCAGAGCCAGGCGGACCTCTGTGAGTTCGAGGCCAGCCTGGTCTACAGAGCGAGATCCAGGACAGGCACCAAAACTACACAGAGAAACGCTGTCTCGGAAAAACAAAACATTCAGTACAGTCACACAATAAGGGCACCAGCTCTTTACCAGCTGTTTGTCATCCCACCTCTGATTTAGATCCTCCACCACCCATGGCATGTGACAGTGGTGCTGGATTGTTCCACACCTGTATGAACAAGCTTCTGGATCTCATTCTGGCAGTTTGCCATGCTGCATGTACTTCCAGGTTGTCATAATGTAAACATTAATTGCGTATATTTCCTACTGGGATAGATTCTGGAAACATGTATTGCACAGTAGAAAAATGGAAACTTCCAAGTGCCGGTCACAGCATTGACAGGCATCTCTCCCCAGGAGTCAGCCTGGTGGGTAGGTGTGGGAAGACTGCAGGCCAGTCACCAGAGTTTGAGTCCTGGCTCTGCCATCTTCCTAGGTGACTCTGGATAGTCTGGCAGCATCCCCTGATCTTGAGAACCACATGTAAAGCTGCTTGAGATAGCACCAGGCACACACAGTTTTCCTTCAGTCTGAAGTGTGGCGAACTTGTTTGTCTCCCTGGAGTGCTAAGTGCAAGTCTGAGGATGGAATCCAGAGTCGAGCAGAGAATTCTCCTTTCTTCCTGCTTCCCAGAATGCTCATTCACAGCAAGGACCTCCCAGAGCCAGCACGGCAGGAAAAAGGCAGAAGGAGACTACTTGGGCAGTGGGAACTCCCTTCACAGCCCAACGAGATGCTTGTCTGTAAGGCTGGACAGTGGGCAGACTGTAGCCATTTGCTTTTGCCTCTGAGCTTGAGTTTCCCTGGGTTCCAGCCAATGTCCAAGTCATCGCTGTCCAGAGAAGGGTATGTGCCCAAGGTCAAAGGTTACCAGACTGCAGGTCAAGTGCCATCTTCCAGCCTCACGCTGTGTTTGTAGAATCTGTACCAAGGAACCTTAGAAGTCCAGAGCCACTCTGAATGGCCTCTTCTCTTCCCCACTCTGGAACCGCAGGGGCTGATGAGTTCCACATAAGCAGGAGGATGCTTCCTGCCCCAGGGAAGACTTCCCTTGGGGCTGGTTCTCTAAAGTAAGAACCATGTGCTTTGACGTCATGGGAAAGGGTGAGGTAGGGAGGTGAGCAGAGGGAGGAGTATGGTTTGTGCCAATTAGCCTGCTGGATCTACTTCAGCAAGGCGTGCCGAGTCCATGAGAGGACTCAGAGCTACCTATAGCTTGAGTTGGAGTAAACAACCCAAGTGTCCTGTGAGGAAGAATCATCATAGATACATGTATGTACAAATATGCATCAGCTATACCATTCTTAGCCAGGAATGTCCTGGCTAACTATGGTTTCCCACTGAGCCTCAGAATCCTCCAGAACCCAGCACTCCAAGTGGCCCGTTGCTGCATCCGATTCACGAAGGGGTGGGGGGCAGATGCATTGACTCTTTGGCAGTTGGTGGCCGCCTGCTCTTCAGTGCTCTGTGTCTCCTCTCCAGCTGTTGAGATGATGTTGAAGCTGCTGCTGCAGCGTTCCTCTCACTTAACACTTCCACTTTGCTGTGTCATCCGCAGCTCTTCAAACTGACCACCGTCAGCTTTCACTGTGACTAGCTGTCTTCTCTCTCTGGAGGCGCCTTTATCTTGTCTTTCATTGAGTGTGAGGAGACAGTGAAAACACAAAGGAGCTTCTCTTTTCTTCCAAGGGCACATGAGATCCGTGTGCCAGGGCTCTCCATGTCCTTTCCTTCAAGTGAGCAGTCATTCTCTGAGACATCGGTAGCCGTGAGCTCTACAGGGACAGCACACATTTGCAGTTGGCTGTGGCCATCTTGACTTGTGACCAGATGGTTTTGTCCTGCATACTCTCCTAGGGCTCTGAGACTGTGAGAGTTGTAGAGTAGAGGCATTGTCTTAGTTGGGACTTCTAGCTTCCTGTTCCCCTATTTGAGCCACAGGAAGAATGGAGGAAGGATGGCGGGGTGATAGAGAAGCCATATGAGAAATGAGCAGGCCTACCCTTGATGTCTTAATGCACCTGAAGTTTAGGTCACTAGGGCCATTTAGTTAAGAGGCCTGAAGGTGACAAGTCTGAGGTCTCTGTGTGGAAAGTCTTTTGGCCACACTTCACCCAGTCATCACATGCAAAAGCCCAGGAGCACTAAAGGCCGTGGCTTTCTGCCAGCAACAAATTTGGGTTCATATTGCTCATGGCTGATTAGTGCTGTTCAGTTTCTGATGAAAGACCAATGTTATCACGGGGCTGGAGAGATGACCGCAGTTAAGAGTGCTTTTTCTTCCAGAGGACCTGAGTTTGATTCCCAACACTCACATGGGGCAGCTTACAACTTCCTATAACGCTAGCTCCACAGGATCCAACACCTCCAATGGCCAGTGACAGCAGCACTCAATTGCACATAACCCAAACACATACATGCACACATGTGCATAATTGAAAATATTTATCTTGAATCTGTCATGCTTCCCTGATCATAGTCATAGACTATTTGTGGAACATAGACGAAAAGGAAGCTGGGAAATAGTTTAGAGCATTTGTTGCTCTTTCAGGGGACCCAGGTTTGATTCCTAGAACTTACACAGTGGGTCACAACCATCCTTAACTCCAGTTTCAGCAGGTTCGATGCCCTAGTCTGACCTCTGTGGGCACTGTGTGTGCACATAGTGCACACACATCCTGGCAAAACATTCATGTGCATAAAATAAATGTAAAAACATTTTTTAAGCCGGGCGGTGGTGGCGCACGCCTTTAATCCCAGCACTCGGGAGGCAGAGCCAGGCGGATCTCTGTGAGTTCGAGGCCAGCCTGGGCTACCAAGTGAGTCCCAGGAAAGGCGCAAAGCTGCACAGAGAAACCCTGTCTCGAAAAACCAAAAAAAAAAAAAACATTTTTTAAAGATGAAATGGAAAAAAGTTGTCCACAATCCCACTTTTATAGAAACTTTATGTCACACATACACACACACACACACACACACACACACACACACACACACACACACACGCTAAATGTTTACAAAAAGTAGAGAGGGTCAGTGAGGTGGGTGGCAGCATTCGCTGACAGGTCTGAGGACCTGAGTTTTATATCCAGGCTTCACATGGTGGAAGGAGAGAACCAACTCTTGCAAATTGTTCTGTGACCACACACATGCTGTGACATCGGTACATGCATGCAAACGCACAAGGTAAATACATGTAACAATTTAAAGAACACTCAATATTTGAATATGTTTAATCACGGTCTTTTTTTTTCTGTGCATCCATATGAATTTTAAGAGAATCTGCATCCTAATTAAAATGTAATTTTATCATTTTTCATGTTTATGTGCCTTTTATATCATGAAATAATTTTTAAATTCAATTTAAAGTATATGTAAGATTCTATCTTACTAACATGCCATAACATTTAACCCTTTGCGACTGAACATCCTAGTTGTCTCAGCATCTTGTCCATGTGCTACTCTTAATAAGTAACCCCATGTGTTTGGGGAGAAGAAACAAAGCAGAGGATTGATTTGGGGACACTTTAAAGGGACCCTAGTACTGCTCATGGTGTGAGTCACCAACACACCAGCTACACACCGTACAGATGTGGTTTGTGGACCTGAGCTTTTTGACACTTGAAGAAGAGCTTCCCTGAGGTAGCCAGTGAAGCTGATAACCCAGGAAGACTCAATGTGTCTTCTGACGTTTGTAAAGCTATGATGGGGAGTTGGGTCCAGGGATGCACTCGCATTGTTCAGCCCCTCAAGGTGCAGGTGAATTTGGGTGCCATGCCTTTGTTCTTCCACCTGATGTCCAGGCAATGCTTACAGCTGTCGCTTTTCTTGTCCAATTCTTTCTCTGCAGCTGCTGGGGCTTCCAGATGCAGAAGACGATGCATTTGAAGAGTACAATGCAGATGTGGAGGAAGAGGAGCCAGAGGCGGACCACCCGCAAATGGGGGTCAGTCAGCAATAAACTCCTAGGTCACCTTCTGGAAGGGGAGTAAGCCCTGTGCTGCCAATGGGGTCCTGGGATCCTGGGGTAGCCTTTTGTATTAGATCTTCAAAACAGGACATCTGGCTCCTGACATCCAAGTGAAAATGAAATACCTTTTAAATGACCACACAATATCTGTGATGCGCTTCACTCAGAAGTGATCAGAATTTCTGCCCCGCTTTGGCGGGGTTTCTATGGAGATGTCTCGGTAGCCTTTGCCACTTTGAAGTTAGAGTCCATGTTGTGGCTGCCTGTTCCCTCTTGAGTTTATGTTGGAGAATTAACGTTTGCTGATTGGAATGTAGAGAACGCGGAATGTATTAAGGATGTGTTTTGAGTCCTCGCAGGTGACCTTGCTGAGGAAAAGCATGACAGAGGAGAAATGCAGCCTGTACTTTTTATGTACCTTTTAAGTGTCCGTAGTGAAAGGTTTTGCTTAGAAAGCATGAGTTTTAATATCTAGTCGTGAACTGCACAAGGACAAATGCAGAGGGTGAGGGTGGCCGAGGCTCCTTGCAGAGGTTCGCCGCTGCTGAATTGGTTACCTGGGTATGTGGCAGCCAGCCGCTGGTTAGTGTAAATGTTTCATGGTTGTTCGATCGTTTTCAAACATGCTAATTCCAAAGCCACTTTTAAATTCTAATAGTGGAAAGTATAGATGGGGTCAAAGATATCAATTATTGATTCCTTGAAGCTGTTTATAAACCTGCATATAAAATGAAACCTTTACTATCTCTCTTTACGATGAGATGGCAAAAGACAACCAGAATCCGAGTAAGTGCCCCTTAAGCCTTGAAGCCATAGAGTAAATCTAATAGGAAAATAAAGCAGGATAAAAAAAAGTTAATATAATGAAATCCTTTACTTTCCTAATCTTTTATTCTTTCGAGAATGTCATGAGAAGGCTCCCACTGAGTTAATTTATTTAAAATTATAATTAAATACTCTAGGGAACCTACATGCAGTGGAATTTTAAAGTGACATGAAAGTGAGAATCTTAATTAGGGAAGTGCTTGGTTAAAAAAGAATGTTTTTAATGATCAGGACACACAAACAACTCCCAGAAGTAACTGCTGTCATCATTTAGCCAATAAATACTTACCAGGACATTCTCTAATGCCGTTGTGAGACCCTTCCATGTCTTGGGTTCTCATACAGCCCCCTTTACAGCACTTGATTCCTCCATACATCCAGTTTGGGAATGTTTCTCTCTCTCTCTCTCTCTCTCTCTCTCTCTCTCTCTCTCTCTCTCACACACACACACACACACACACACACACACACACACACACACACACACACACACGCTGGTTATGTCATCAGTATTTTAAATTAAAACAAAACCAAACCCACAGTAGCAGAAGCTTGTGTATATGGCTGACATGTCGTCTGGGCATTTTCTGTTTAGCCCAGTGGTACCGTGAAGGGTCCCCCTGCTCCTTGGTGCACTGCAGAGTTCAGTTGCTGGGTGACGTCACATCGTGGTTTCCATCTGTGCTTTTGTGCCTGTACCTGTGTTCTCATCTTCTGGAGGAAACTTATTAATGGTTAGTTTCAAGCCGAGTGACTTCCCTTGAAGTAGCCCATTAGCGAAGTCAGACAGTGCTCCTTCCAGGGTGTGAGGTCCAGTCCTGCCCATGATCTCCCCGCCCCCGCCACCCACACTGGTCTGCTCACAGCTGGAAGACTTGAGCTCTCTATCTTGTAGATACGGTCCAGGGCAGGTAACTTCCATTTTAACATGATAGGCCACACAAATAAATGACTTTTGTAGGTCAATAGAAGATACCTAATCAGTTTGCTCCATTATGAGGTAACCTGGAATTTTATACACAGAGACTTCAAAACTAAATTTACGTGTGTTTGAACATTAATATAAGATGGGTTTTTATCAAAAACGTATTTAAACTTTGACCAAATATACTTGGTACTATCATATTAGTGTTCTCTATTTGTACAAGTTGAGCTGAGACCCCTCGTGGTGCAGTGGGCTGCTGAACAGTGGTCAGGAAGAGAGAACATCCCTGGATGTGGCTGATGTCCACGACAAAACCCCCAGACATACATCAGCAAATTCGCTGTCCTTGCCAACCTCCTTCTCTCTGTTGTTGTGTGTGTCCCTTCCAGTACATACCTGTGTGCGCAGGCATGCACATACCCACTCCGACCCGTACCGTCGATGCTCACATCCCAGTTAGGGCTGAAGGCAAACAGCCTGTGTTTAGTTCTGGAAACAGCTCCACAGTGAGACAAGTGTGACCCTTCCCAAGACGTCAGAGGCATTCCAGTGGCAGCCATGGTGTGAGAGAAGGGTCTTTGGGAGTTAGGAGAGACACTTGCTTCTAGTTTGGACTCAGCCCTTGACTGCACGACATCAGTTTGCTCCATTATGAGGTAACCTGGAATTTTATACACAGAGACTTCAAACCTAAATTTACGTGTGTTTGAACATTAATATAAGATGGGTTTTTATCAAAAACGTATTTAAACTTTGACCAAATATACGTGGTACTATCATGTAACTTTTCTACAGAGCAGGGGACTTTGCTCTTCTAGCTTAAAACGCTGTCCTGATGCGGCTGCTGTAGGAAGTATGTGAGCAAAAGAGCAACAGCCGAGGACAGTCAGGGCCATGGGAAGAAAATCATTTGGGATTTTGCCAAAGATGGTGTCCTTAAGATGTTGGCCATGCTACTACCTTAGAATATGGTGGCAGGGGGTGTCCAGATCCCTGGAGCTTGCTTGGCATGGGCTCCATCCCAGGCAACTGGTGAAATTCTGTTGCTTTGAGAAGTGGGTAACCAGAGGGCCCTGTAGATGGTTTGCCTCGGCTGAACCCGCTCTGCTGGTGGTGGGTAAAACTGCTCTTTGCCCACCCCCACCCCCCACCCACTGAAGGCTTTGGAGGTGGTTGGCAGTTAACCCCAGAGGGGAAACTGGCACAAAGAAGAGCTGGAAATGAATGAGCACTTTGCTTATCTTGTCACTCTGGAAAGAGAAATCGACAGTGGAACCTTGGTAGGTAGAGGGCGGAGACAGAGTGGAAATGAACATATGAGGGAAGGACTGATGGCTTGCTGAGCTGTGCCATGCCCAGCTGTGAAGTCTGAATTATGCCGTGACAACATTACAAAGCCTGATCCTAGCGCTGACTGACCCAGGGAGACATTTTTCTCCTGTCTGCCTGGTTACTTTACCCTGCCTGGTGACAGCACTGAGCAGGATTCAGGGATCCAAGTACAGAGCCAGGGAGGGTAGCGAAGCCCCATGCCGTGCCTGGCACCACTTGGGGTCCGGCACGCGGACTTTGTGACCCCTGGGCCCCACTGCAGCGTGTGGTACATTTTGTGTTTCCATGACCAGAGCACAAAACGTGCTCCATGATGAGACTGTCCTTGCACGCTGGCACCAGAACTGGTTTTGCAGTGTGCTTAAGTAAAACTGGAGCCCACTGGGCGTGACACCATTGCTCAGTACAGACAGAAACTGTTCTCTAGCACAATGCATGTCTCTGAATATTGTTTCAGTTTCTCAGAGCACAAAGAGTGTGTCCAGGGTGTTGTGATCCCAGAGCGGAATTTTTAGTTATTGCATGTTAAAACTCACCAGTGGGGAAACAGTTTAATCAAATAGTGAGAGGAATGTAGGAATGGACGGGGACTTAATGTGGGTTGGGAGGAGATGAACAGGGACCTTAAGAGAGTTAGGTCTCAGTCCATCTGGATTGTAAACAAAGCACATAGCCCACGCTTACCTCCCGGGGTAGAGGACAACTTGTTTTCTTGGCTGTCTCTAGAGAACTGCTTTCCTCCGAGACCGGATGTTTAGAGGGTGCTAGTGATGACTTTGTGACTTTCACAATGCCCCCTGCCCAGCCAAGGGCACAGCAGGTGTCCTGCACACCTGGTAGACGTCCTTCCCTTAAAAATAAAATCAGCCGCTAGCCAGGGAAGCACGCCTTCAAGAGTCCAGGCTCCAGAGCGGCTGTGGCTGCAGCTGGCAGAACACGAGCCATACCTGCCCTCTCCTGCACTGGTGCTGAGGTTGTCAGCGAAACTCCAGCGGAGGCTCTTGTCCCTCGAATAAGCCTTGAGGGAGATGGCATGCATGGCTTGTTGCATCATCTCCAGATGTGCATACGAACTTTTTTTTTTTTTTTGCATTAGAAACTCCTCTTGCATCCGAACTCAGTGAGTTTCCTTGGTTTAACGGTTAACTAGTATGACTTGAGAAGCCGAGATCTTTTAGGTGTCATATAGAGTAGGTGTAAAACTTGCCAGAACGCTGGCAGCCCGTGGTCTGTGGCAACAGCCGTGAGCATTTCATGTTAGAAACCCCATTCCCCACACTGCAACACTGAATAGTTCCAAGCAGCTTCAAGAGTGTACCAAACTACACAGGAATCAGCACTCAGTTTGCTTTGGACTGTGTTCAGGTTGTTCGGTATTAGGGAGAAAGCTGGCAGTGTGCTCTTCCTAAACCTTTCCCTGGGCTTTTCCTTTCGTTGTGGTGTCTTGATTCTGTTTTAGCAGGTACCTTCCGAACTGGCCTAGACCAATGCTCTATACAAAGGCCAGCTTTCTAAAAGGCACTAAAGTAAACATTCAGTGCTGGGTAAGTCCAAACCTAGCTACAATCCAGTGCTACTTTGTACAAGCAAGATGTCAGCCGTCTCCAGAGAAGCAAATCAAAAGAAACAAAAGCAATGGGCTTTGTTGTTTGCTTTCGGGTTTTCAGGCTGGGAGTTTTTCCTGTGACATGTGTGTGCTTTCTTTGAGTTCATATTTCCTTTCAGAGAGCTCTCTTGTAAATGACAAACTGTGAAATGGATTGCCAAAAACTGTGTCCTTTCTTAGATGCTTCAGACAGAACTGTGTAAATTTTCCCAGCACCCTGTCCCATCTGCTCTTCCCTCCCTCCCTCCCGTGAGAGCAAGGACCACACCCAAGGATGTAATTACCATAAGCTTGCTATTAAAGAGCCTTTCAGCCCTGGTGGTATTTGCCTTTTTTTTTTACTCTTTCCACAGATTTTAGCTACAGAATACTATATGTGATTTATAACTGAAAAGCAAGGACCGTAGATGTGGGAGGGGAGGGGCCAGTTACATCGGAGATTGGTAATTGGTAATTAATGAGTTTGGGAACGTGCATCTAACTTATGCTCTGGCTAGTGATTAGCAGTTTTTCATCCCCCTTTGAACTAGTACTAGTTTCGTAGGTCAGAATTCCCTTTTGCAGACCTAGTTAGGAGTCTTTTGTGGCACAGAAATCTGGTGTCCCGTGACAGTTTAATAACGACATCATGACATTTCCTCAGCGCCTTTCGCCCCTCCCACCCCCCCACCCCCCCCCACCCCCCCACCCCCGTTGCTGTTATTCACTAGATAAGGCGTTCTAGTAGGAGCTCTAAAAGTTGGCGGCAAGTTTCATTCTTTGGTTAAAGATAAGCTTTTCCCTCCGAATGAGGGGGTCTCTAAACTTGAGAATGGCTTAGCAGGCCCAGCTTGAGGCGGTTTGTGTTTATGTAATGTCATTGGGAGTCCTTGGTTTTGGCCAGAGATTCCAAGTTCAGAGTAAGGCTGTGTGTGAACATTCTAAACCACTCTGGACTAAGACTGGCTCCAGAAGGACCATGTAGACAGATTTTTATCATGGGAAAATTCCTGTTTCCATGGCTTGATCACACAGGCTCCCTTGGCCCCTTCACATGCAGGGACAGATCTTAGCATTACTCACATCTCCACTCACTGCATTAATCTCTGAAATCACTTGGCAGGTGGGAGGTTCTGGCCCAGGCAGGTCCCTGACAGTCTTTGTGGCACTACTCATACCCCCCCTCCCCCCCCCCCCCCCCCCCCCCCCCCGCGCGCCCATCCCCTTGTTTTCTCATGGGTAAGAGTAAACATGGTGACCTCATCTCTGCTTTCCCTTGGGGGAGGAGCAGGAGTGGAGCACCTGGGCACCTGGCCCTGCTGTAGAGGAAGGAGTGCCACAAGATCCCATAAAGCCACAATGGTGACCTGCACTGTTAGGCTTTTCTCTGGTTTACCCCGCCTTTCTTAAGATCCCCTTTTCCAAGTGAAGACCCATAGCTGTGTGTTAACCCAAATGCCACCGCTTGAAGGTGGCACATCCTGCCTTACCACACATCCTGCCTTGTCACACATCCCTTCTCTTTTAGTAGATCACAGGATTCCAACTACAGCTAAGAGGGAAGGGCAGGGTCCCTCGCTTAGGGATGTAATGAACAGGCTTGTTTCCATAGTGAAGTCGGGCAGGTGGGGTGGGTACCACAATATCCCCAGGGCTTGCTGAGCACACATGGGTGGATTCACAACACAGGGAAAGAAACAAACCCCACACCTCAGTATTTGGAGGCACCAGGGCTAGGTGTCTAGCCCAGTGTCCTGATGAATTGGGCGACCAAATATTCTTCCATTTGTCAAGCTTAGCCATCTGGAAGTGTGGAGGCAAGATTGAAATGCCTCCCGAACCATCTGACACTTATTTTCTTTTTGTACCATAATAGGCACAAAACCCCTCTGAATCTGGCCATCTTCCCCCTTTTTTGGAGTAGAAAGAAAACAAGAATGCTTCTAAAAACCCGGGCAAGTTGTAATTAGGCAGCCAAAGAACAAGTGTGGAAGAAGAACCAGCCCCCAAAGTGGATGTCAGTGCCAGCCAGGCACGAAGTGAAGTGGGTCCGTCGGGAGGCTGCCTTTTAATTGGAAGCCTCTAGAGGTCAGCACAGCATAAACAAAGGGCTTCCTAACACTGAGGTCACACACTCTCACCCCCTGCAGCCTTAGGGAGCAACCACCAGGGTAGACCAGGAAGGCAGTAGGCACCCCGGGCACTAGAGGAGAAAACATGTTTCTTCGGAGCAGCCTGCTTTTCTGGTCTGTCTCCGCAGCTCCCACACCTATGTAGCAAACTGTCTGCTGATTGACAGATGGACAGCTGAAGCACCAGCAGCTCCACCTTGTACCGGGCCGACTCGGCTCAGGGCTCGCTCTTCTGCGGGTCAGCACACAGGCTTTGCTAAAATGCCGCTGTCAGTGGGCTTGGGGAGAACCTAAGTCAGGTCCTGTAGGGCCCGTGGGGGTCAACAGATGGGGAAGGTCAGATACGGGGTGGGAGTGGCTACAAACTGCTAGACACCAGGGCCCCAAGCACCAGGTGCCGAGCTCCAGGCAGGGGTATGCCCCAGGCTTCACAAGATCAGTTTCCAGTTCCAAAGGGGGGCCTGGAAACCCCCAGAAGCTTCCATAGGATGGGAAAATACTAAAAAGGGTTTTCTCCCGTTTTCTTGTTGCCTGTTCTGTTTAGGGCTTTTTTTTTATGTCTGCCTCTCAAGGAAGCTTAACCCACACCCCTAATCAAATGCCATCGAAGAGGGTCCTTTGGTGGGCACTGGGATGCACCCAGGACACAGACATGAGAAAGGATATTGGTGGAAATGTCAAAATATTCCCCAGTTTCTCCCCCGAAAAACATTTTAATACTTGGTAACCTAGCAGTTTACTTTGAACCATTCAGTTTCAAAACGATGGCTTTTTGATCCCAATGAGTGTAGACTACATGTTATTTATAGTTCCAGAACAGCCTGGTGACTTTCCAGTCCCTTTTCTCATGAATTAAACAATGCTGAGTGAGTAGGCTCAAACTGTGTGTGCCTATTACATACTAAACCTGTTTTTTTTTTTAAAAAAAAAAGCGGTCTCACATAGTCCTTGTTGCCAAGGCCCTTGAACCCTTCATCCTCCTGGTAGACTGCCAGTCGCTGGGATGGTTACATTGTTACACCCGAAGTTCCTTTTAGCTTTTTTCATTTTCTCACTGGCTCTATAAGGTAAGTAGGAGTGTGTGTGTGTGTGTGTGTGTGTGTGTGTGTGTGTGCGCGGTGCGCGCGCGCGCGCTATCCTTTTCAAGATGAGGAAACTGAGTCAGGGAAAAGTTAAGTAATTTTCACAAGATGACACAGATATTAAGTGCCAGGGCTGGCATTCAGATCCAGGCAGCCTGGCCTCAGAGCTCTGTCCGCTACTTTGCTCTGCCTATCATGGTGGGGGCATGTTTTGATTCTAAGCCTTCCCCAGCCTTTTCAGCAGCTCCCTGGTCTTTCTTGCCTAGGTTGCTGTCCTGGAATCTGCCTCCCTATGGCTTGAGCACAGGATGAAATGTTGACAGTGTTTTCAACTCTTTGCTTTGCCCTTGACTAGATCAGCCTGCTGCTGGACACCTTGAAAATGAATACAGTTTCCAATATCCAGGCCCTGGCGCAGACAGGCAAGTGGTTGGAAGAAATGGCTTTGAAGATAAGAGGATGCTTAGACCTGGTCAAGGCTGAGGAACACAGCCTGCTTGCCTTCCTCTCTGTCCTCTGTAGGGTCCTTCACGAGGACGTCGCAGGTGACTCTGTGTCTTTCCTTGTGATGAAGGGCTTTTACCCCAAGTCCCCTGAAACTTGGAGCAGCAGAAACCCAACCCCCAGTCAGACAAGATACGGAAGAAGAAAGAAAACTCTCCTGGCTTCTGATCCCTGGTCAGGATCGACGGGGTTTCAGCACAGCCAGGGACTGATCTGGCAATGGGAATGTGCCCAGGCTCCCCCAGCTGGAGTCCAGCATGCCTTCTGGCACTGTGCCCCCAACCCCCTTCCTGTCGGTGCTGTGATGGGAGCACACCTATCATTTGAAGCCTTCTGCAGAGGCAGTGGGAAGGACATTGCATTTCAAACCACATTCATTTCATCTTTGAGGGGTCTGCTTGGGGGGTTCATTGCTGTTGCCTCCACTAGCAAGAAAGGAAAGCCCAGAGAGGCTGTTGGGGCTTCAGATCTGCTTTTTTGCTTCCAGGATCCCCAATGACAGGGACCCTGGACTTCCTGGGGAATGACTGTGGAGAATATGCTAAGCCCCCAGCAGTATTTCTCTGGCTTCTGAAATGGCACACTGAGAGAGTGGAACTGGGAAGGTGTGCCTAAGGGAACCCGTGGAGACAGGGGTATTGTGAGAAAAGCAGCCCAGGCTTTGAGAGGGGACTTGTCACAGAGTCACAGAGAAAGCTTACTTCTCTGCGCCTCACTCTTAATTCCCACAGAAATTTGACCATTTAGATCGTTGGTTTCTACTAAGAAAGGTTAAGGGGATCCTTTACTGGGGCTATACGAGACCCTAAAAATGGAAACATGTACCAGGCATAGTGGACACGCCTATAAACCTCAACTACTTAGGAGGCTGAGACGAGAGGATCACAAGTTCAAGGCCACACTGGGCTCTATAATGAGTTCAGAACCAACCTGGGAAACTCTAACTCAAAGATGAAGAGATATATTTTTTAAAGGCTGGGGTGTATGCAGTTCAGTGTGAGAGCAGTTGCCTAGCACACAGGAGGCCCCAAGTTCAGTAACTCGTAATTGTTTTTAAAAAAGAAATCATGAAGGATCAACTTTAGCATGGGCCATTCAAATTTGAAATGGGTGAACTGAGTGGTTGCGCTGGGGTCAGAAGTGGAACTCTAGTCACTGGAAATGACGCAAAATTCATGTGATCCTCAAATCTGGCTCTGCAACACTGGGGGACAGTGCTTAATCTTATCAGGTACATCCCTGGGAAAGCTGTCCTCAAGTCTAACTTTCACACCAGAATCCCCCTCTCTAACTCCCTCTCACACCCACCTTACCAGACAGAGACTTCAGACAGAGGGCCCCGTGCCTGTGGGTTCTAAATCTATAATATCAACCAAATATTCAGGCAGAAATACACTGGCACCTAAGCTGAGTATATCACAAGACTGTCCCTTGTCATTATTCCCTAAAGGGTACAGTATGTCAACTATGTTTTACTATTTGCATGGTAGATGGTATTCTAAGTAGAGATGTTTTCAGATACATGGGAGCGGGCTCACAAATCAAATGCAAATAGGCATCTGAAGATTTGTTACTTGTCAGGGATCCTGAACAACTTACCCCAAGTCCCAAGGGACAACTG